GCGCAGACGCGTGCTCAGCCCCCCTCCCCCCCCCCGAGCCCGTGAAATATTACATCATACAACCAACGGGACCCACTCCCCCAAAAAAACAACACTTTCCCACCCGGGGGGGGGGCTCAGCACGTCACTGTGCCCCTGCCGCGGGTGAGAAAGTGTTGTTTTTTTGGCGGCGTGCGTACCGTAGGTTGTATGATGTAATATATCACAGGCTCGGGGGGGGGGAGGGGGGCTGAGCACGTCACTGTGCCCCTGCCGCGGGTGAGAAGGTGTTTTTTTTTGGCGGCGTGCGTACCGTAGGTTGCATGATGTAAGATATCACATCGCCTGGGGCAATTTTCGAAGCTGGATATCTCGGCAGGAAAAGCGGTGACGGTGCCGAAAATGGCGTTAGGCGTTGGAACCGTCTCGTCGAGAGCATTCCCAACACGTATACTTCAATTTCGGCATCCTTGTCGTGGTGGAGTAGTCGAGCTTTGAAAACCGGTCCAGGGTGTGTGATATATTATGCATCCTTGGTAGTGTTGTAGAAAACTCCTCTGTACGGGTTTTAATGGTTCTGGTGCGTGTTCCCTGTCTGCGTGCAGTGAAGTAAGTTCATGGCCAACTTCGATGATGTTCGTTTTTGCGGCACCTCAGTTGGGCTGGAACACGGCGACCACATCCCATCAGCGGGACCCCCGATAGCAACGATTAGCGCGACGCAAGCTCGTGTAGAGGGTGATCAGTGCCACGATGTCGGTCTCGTTCTTGCGAGAGGGCAGCCTGTAGCCTGCCCTTGCCGGGCGTCGGTGATGGGATGAGGGTAGTCTGTGTGCTCTGTTATCTGCATTCACATCAAGAACCCGTTCCGATGTCCCCTCCAGTACCGCCTTCAAGCATCCGCACTTGTCCAACTGGCGCAGACGTTTCCGGTGTTGTTCTTGTTTTTTTTTTCATGTGTTGTCTTGCCATAGCACAACGAACGTAACTCTTCCGCGGATAGAAAGTCCACGAGAGGATAGGTTAGCGATGAATTCGCCCATTGCGTTGTGTGATGACCGACTTGTGTTTCTACGGTTACCCGAGCAGCCTCTCCTCCCCTGCGGTCGTTGTTGCGTTTTTTGTCACAGGGTGGGGGCCGCTAGATCGGCGACGGGACCCCTCCCCCAGCGCATACCCCCCGCCGCCCCCTCCAGCAGACAGCAGAACAAACTTTGGCGAGGGGTATAGACACAACAACCTGTATAGCGAAGAGCACAACGGCAGCCCAAGATTAAGACGACGACGAAGGGGGGGGCGCGGGCGACGCTTGGATGCCCAGCTCAGCGGAGGGGGGGGGTCGGTGCAGTGGGCCCGGACGGAGGAACAAGCGCGGGACTGGGGAGTCCCGCTGGATGCCATGCCTCCGGAGTTCACTGGTGGGATTCTCATTTATGCATATTATCCGTTGTTTTTTTCATCGCGACGCAACAATGTACTTTTATATTCGAACAGCAGGGGTACCCGGATAAGGTGTTCGCTTCGCAAGGCGGTCGCATTAGGCGGGTGAGAGATTGGCCGGCAAAGCCGAAATAATCAAGTTGTGCTACGCATTGAAATGAGGCGGCTGCCCCTGTAAAAGGCGACCGTTATAAGCTTCCCCACCCACTGCTGTATCGTGTACTGTGCTTACTAAGCTCTGAACTTTTGAGCAAGTTTTTCCGTGCGACACCTGTGTGATACCGACTTAATCGGTTCTATTCTCCGTGCTACACCTTTGTGATTACAGTACGACTTAATCTTCGTGTCGCTCTAAACTTCGCAAGTGTGTCAGTTATGCCTTTGTTCTTTCACGGCGGTTTCAAGCCTACAGCAGTACAGAGTACATGGATATCGATATGATGTGGTCATACCTTGGCAAGTTTCGCGTCGAAGCACTTGCCTCTGTTGTGCCCGCACCTTTCCGTGGGGCGTCTTCTCTTGTCTTTTTTCTGTCTTCCCGGCCACGCTAGCGCAACTGTTGTCTTGTCTGTTGCCACTCTCCCTCCCCCGTACCTCTCTCGTTTTTCTTGTGTTGTCGTTATTTTCAATATTTTGATTGTAGTCGCTGTGTGTCTCGTGGTATCAGCGTCGCTCGTACATTGCTCGCGGTTTGCTTGCCGTGTCGTGGTGTCGTCTCTCCCTTGCTCTGGCGTACCACGGTGGTGCATTTTTCGTTTTTCCATTCGCCCCAAGGTCATGCTCTCCTTTTCTCTGTCTCTGTCTCGGTCTCTCTCTTTTCTCTCTCTATATATCTCTCTCTGTCTCCCTCTCGCTGTCTCTCTCTTTGTCTGTCTGTTTCGATCTCTATGTCTATGTCGATATATCTCAATCTCTCTACAACTATGTGTGATATTACTTATCTGCAAATGATACAAATCATTGTTTTCCCTTTACTCTTGTGTATCTTGTTTTGTGTGTTTGCGGAACCCGTGCTATTCTTCAGCGGAAGAAATGGAGGAGCTATCTCGAGAACGGGCCTACCTCAATGGGCTAGTCGAGGAGACTGCGGAGGCAACGGGACAACAGGTGCCCGCTGTGTAACGCGCCGCTCCCCTCCACACACACAGACCTCGCTACGGAATCTGTTCTTAATCGGGAGAGTAGCATGCCCTCCCCCATGACACCCCCTCATGGGGCCCCAGATGATGGTCTTAAAATATATTCTTCTGTATTTTCAACCGCACTGAGACTGATATATTTTCGTTTGTCCGCCGGTTAGCGGGCTCGATGCTAAGAATACTAAACCCTTTCCCTTTGATTAGAAGTTGTTCGTGTTTTTTTTTATCCCGCTTCAAGACTGGCGTCTTTCGTTGGTCAGCCGGCTTCTGTAGCGCGGTCCATGCTCGTTAAGGAAACTCGTATGCAAACACACACGAGACACGTATAGTCGTCGTCCTGGCTAGCACAATGCAACTGTAGTCGCCAAGGTCTTATCATCCGTGGAATAGTTCCCCCTTGATACTGCTGTATCCGCTATTATTTGAGACGGTTTCGCCAGTGCCCACCATGGCGTATCTGGTTTGGCACAGCAAACGCAAAGACGATGGCCAGCTTCTGGTTCATCCTTATCCTTGTGATAACGTAGCCTGGGCAGGTGAAAACCCGGCATATCACCCGGTCCCGGCATGCGAGGCCATTGGTCGAACGACTATGCATTCGGCATGCGTTTATGTGAGTACACCCACCGCCCGCCCGCCCGCCCGCCCCGAAATAATCGGAACAGGCGTGTAATCTAGCTTTCGCCAAGACCCACAAGACGGCGTCGACAACCATGGCGATGATACTCGTGCGGTACGCGCGTCGACACGACATGAAGGTGTGCGGGTGCGGGGTTTGGGGGTGATCCTCGAAGTTTTTCTGACTACGCAAGCACAACCAACGGTAGGTACAATTTTATTGTTTTTGCGGGACAGTAAGGTTCGCTCCAAAAGACTTCACCCCCCCTTAGACGATGGTCTATGTTAAGAACGGATAGTATTTCTTTGATTGTCGCATGCTTCTATTTTCTTACAACGAGCGGCCTCTCTTCTCAGCTCCTCCGACATGTTGGTGTTTGTGTGCCATGTCTGTTTTTTTTGGCTGGGTTTTCGTCCCCGTTTGTCTTGTTTTGCCAAGTCTTCCTCTTCCTTGGGGGTAATTTTTTTTTTCAAGCCGGAGACAGCAAGTCGATGACACGACGGCATATGAAACTGTTGATTTCCTACGCCTGTCTCCCTTGGAAGCCGAAATCAAACGTGTGACTCTGCGCAGACTTGCCTGATGGTTTGATGTTTGATACTCCCCTGACACCACCCACTTGCTCTGTCATCGTTCGCTTGGTGTGACACTGCCGTCCCGACGCGGGTCACTCACTATTTTGTCCCGTCCCGTGTTTCTTTCCCGTCCCTTATTTCTTCTTCCGCCCCGTATTTTCTCCCGTCCTGTGTATTTGTTCCGTCCCGTGTTTGCTCCCGTCCCGCCCGCCCCCGGTTTGATTCCGCAGCTTGCCTCGTTTGGAGGTAACCACGTCTCAGCAATCCCGCTCACCGAAGCCGTGCAACAGGTGAGCACCAACAAGTCGTCAAGCCTTGCGAGCATGGGCTGTTTTTTTTTGCGCGGTAACATCTGGGAGAGACGGGAAGGGGTGCTGAAGGGTCGATTTGCCGGTGCCCCGGTTGACACATCGGCGGGTAGTTTCATCTTGGGCGAAGGAATGGCTTGGGATGCATGTAAGATGTAAGATGCTCCTCTTCGCTTCGACGACAGCCGCGAGAGATTCTTGTTGCGATTGTCGCTGTGGGAGCAGGTGGAGAAAACGGAGAAGACGATGCGCGCCAACGTGAACCATGTATAGCCACCGGAGATATAGAATATTGAGTTCGGATCTTTGGCGTTTTTTTTTTTTATTGAATGCAAGGAAGGATGAGATTTTTTTTTTTTTTTGTCAAGTGTGCTGAGAGGAAGCGAGGTCGGCGGTTGGTCAGTCGGTGTTCGTTGTCCTTTTGCCGACAAACGTTGTGCCGACGCACAATCACAATCACAATCACAGTCACATGAGCAAGACGAACCTCCTCTTTCGCTCTTCGACCCTCAACACAGCAGTCCTGCGGCATTGTTACACCTTATCTCGGCACCGACCCCCCTGGTTGGCTGGCCTGCTTGACCCCCCGGCAGATAGAGGAGAGCGGCGAGCGCGTGGATGTGATGCACTACCACTACACCGCTTACGGCTCCTTCGATGGGAGGTGGGCGGAGGCGAAGGCCATGTACGAGAAGATCATGCGGGAGGGGGAGAGAATAAACTACATCACCGTCGTGAGAAGTCAGCGGTCGCACTTCCTGAGCTACTACTACTACTACGTGCAGCCGGAAGTGCAGGTGGGTTTTCGCGTATGTCTGTGTGTCTGTGTGTCTGTGTTGTTGGCATCGACCGCGCCAACCGGCTGGCCAATGAAAATACGTCAGTCTCGGTGCGGTTGAAAACACAAAACACTTAATAAATGCCATGAACTGGGACCCCGTGAGGGGGCATCATGGGCGAGGCGTTTGTGTGTGTGTGTGTGTTTGTGTGTGTTTGTCTATGGTGTTGGCAGCGACCGCGCTCCCCCTCGTTCTAACCCCTGTTGGTTAATTTGTTAATTTGCCGCTGTTAGCTTATTCGGCGTTGTTGACGTACTTGACTGCTTACCCTTACCCTTATTGTTTTGGCCAGAAAGGCCAGTAATCTTCTCACTTCTGGCGCGGGGCATCGATCGGAAGTGGCACTGCCGTACCCCCCCCCCCATTATCATTGTGCTACCACGCCCCCCCCCCTCCTCCCTTCCCCGATGTTGGCCATCGGGGTTGGGTTTTCGTCGCTTGGCAGCGATGTTGTAAAACAAGCCGATCACTTCGTGAGTTTGCGGCAACCAGGTTACCGCTTTTTTTTACCTCGTTTTTTTTTTGGGGGCGGCAACCATAATGGTGGTCGAGTTGATTATGTTGTACGGGGTCGAGAACCCTCACCGCGCGCAAAGGGGATAATCGCACCACGTTGTGTTATGTTGGTCAAGCATCCTGGAGGCAGCTACACAGTGCTTATTGCTGTCTCTGGAAGTGAAAGCACCAGGAAATAGAATAAGTCGTTCGCAGCTGTCATCCGCACGCAAGGAAGTAAGCACAAGATGCCGAACACACCTTAGGAGGATGCAGCACACCTTTCATGCGGCTCGTCGAATTCCTCACGGCGCTTCGCGCTTGGTGATGTGAGATCCTGGTCCGGTGAGAACCGGCGTGCTCCGTCCCGGCTTTGCAGGGATGCGAGGTCAATGGTCTAACGACTACGGCATGCACGACTATGAGTACACGCTACTCCTCTAACCACCACCCCCCTTGCGCGCGTTTTTGCGCGATTTCTTGTTGTGTCTCGTGAGCAGTTGTCAGTGCAGCACTTCTTCGGAAGCAATCGACAAGACCCTCAGTTTCAGTACCAACGACGGAGGTTAACAAACCCGCTTTGCGCGGAGTTCGGCATCCACAACGGTGAACAGCTGGCCCAGTTCATCGAGACGGAGCTGCCGGACTTCCGTCTGGTGAGAGAGAGAGAAGGGAGAGACAGACAGACAGAGAGAGAGGGAGAGAGACAGAGAGAGAGGGAGAGAGACAGAGAGAGAGGACAATGTCGGATAAGGGGTAAATTACAGAGGGAAATTCCTCAAAGGGGGGGGGGTGGCAACGACGCTTTCCGGGGTTGCACCCGAAAAGCCTCCCGGGCCATCCTCGAGCGACACTCTGTGCCAGGAACAGCAGGAACAGCAAAGGTAACAACGATGAGATTCATTCGCCGAAACACATGAAACATGTTGGGGGGGCGACGTATGTATCACAATGCGATTTATCCGGCTTCCAAACCAGTCGTTGAATCGTGATGCCAACGTTCAAACGAAGCTCACCAATGACCCGTAGCTGGGTATGCAAAGTAGCAGTGGGGGGCCCCCTCTATAGTGCTGTGGTGTTTCCCGAGGTTTTGCCGGCACTAAACCGGGCACGGGCACTATATTGAGAGAACAGAACGACTTGGTATTTCAGTGTTTGCGAGCCGAAAACACTGTCACTATAGCCCCCCCCACTTTAGCAGAAACAGCAGCGACAACGATAAGATTCTCCAATCACCCGAACGGAGAAAATAGTTCTATGGTCTGACATGAATAAATGTATCTCTTCGAAATATTATATAGAAGAGAAACGGTCGGACGGCGACACAGCGACCACTGAATCACCGACAATGCCAACGTTCAAGCCGAAGCTCACTAACCCCCCGTGTAACTTGGCACGTCAATAAATGTCAATACAGGTGTTGCTGACGGAGGCGTTTGACGAGGGCTTGATGATGATGCGGCGGATTCTGGGGTGGGAGATGATCGACATGACCTACTCCCGCATGATGGAGACGAAGGCTGGGGGGGCGCGGTGGGACGGAAAGGAACTCAAGAATGTTCCGCACTGGGAAGACTTGCCGACCTGGGTGAGGGCAACAGCGGCAACTTTGACGGTCTTGCTTTGCTGACGAGTCATGGGGGGGGGGGTTCGTTGACGATGCCTCGGTTTTATCCTCTGTCTCTCTCTCTGTCTCTGTCTCTCTGTCTGTCTCTCTCTCTCTCTCTCTCTCTCTCTCTCTCTCTCTCTCTCTCTCTCTCTCCCGAAAATTTCTTGTGGTATGCCAGATGCGCCGAACATCCCACACCCTGTTACGACTTTTTTTTCGCGACCTTTCTCGCGAAAAGTTCGGGTGGTATTGTACGATGCGCCGAAACATCCCACACCCGGCTACGATTTGTTTTCGCGCTAGCTTGTTGCCCCCACAACAATGCTTGCGTTCATGATAGCTTGGTTCTTCGGCGACGGTTGCCAATACCGCCTGGCCAGGGGCTTTACCGTTGCCGAGAATGATGATCGTTGAATCCACCGGTGGCCGAAGCTCTTTGGCTCAAGTAACGGCGGTGTCGATGGGTACCGGTACCGTAGGTTGTAGTCGTTAAACCCTCCCTCCATATGTGCGGTCGCAAGGGGGGACAATGCACCGGCGGCCTGTTGATGCGGGTCACAAGACACGAGTCCTGCAACAGTTAATGTCCACGTCGGCACGGCAAGCACGTTATATCGTGTTGGCATTGGACGACATTGAAATTTTTTTTGGGGAATCGACTGGGTGAATTTCGTTCGGCACAGCGAGCGTGTATGTCTTGCGGAAGATACGACGCGCCCTGGACCGGTTTTTGAAGCTCGATTTCGCCATGACGAAGGAATCAAATGATAACTTCTTCCTGGAGAGCTCTCTCTCTCTCTCTCTCTCTCTCTCTCTCTCTCTCTCTCTCTGCCGAGTAATCGAGCTTTGAAAATTCGGTCCAGGGGGTGAGATATCTTGTGCAACCAACGGTATGCCGTATTGAGTTCAAGCTTGCAGGCTCGTCGTTCACCTCTCCACCGCCTCCGATCGTCTCTCGCCGCCACCGCCGCCGCCGCCGCCGCCGCCGCTGCTGCTGCTGCGCCCTGTAGGTTCAAGACAGGGTGGACGCCAATACCGCCCTGGACAAGATGCTGTACGACGCGGCCGTAAGCCACTATAACAAGGTGACAAGGGTTTGTGGTTGTATGGAGTTGAATTGGAATACTCGCCCCGCCCCCTGTGTCCACAGGCTCCATCCTCTCGAGGACGCGTGGTCAATGGTCTAACCGCTAAAAGGCATACCAAAACAATAAAGAGAGCACCCCCCATTCCCTCTGTTCACTACTGGTACTGTGGAGCGTTTCGTCAATTTTAGATGTAACGTGGGCAGGCCGCGAGACTCCCGTCAACCCCCCCCCCCCGCGGCGTTCTTTTTGCTTCTTGCACCCCAGATGAAGGCCGTTGCGGCCATGGAGATCGAAGACGACCTCAAGGAGTTCGATGAGCTGCAGAAGACGGTCAACGGGTACCTAGCACTGAACTCGTCGAGCGAGGCGATTCGCTGGTGAGCAAAGGGCGGCGGCGGTTTTGGGGGTATTCACGTAAACACATGATGCCGTAGTCGTTAGACGATTGACCTCGAATCTGTACAATATCGGGACCGGGCGATTTGCCGGGTTTTTGCCGGCCCACGCTTGTACGTTTCACAAGGATGGTCCTGGGAGGGCAAGCATTTCATGGGGTCACTGCTGTTGTTGTCGATCGGGTTTGATTTTCCTGTTTGGTTTTGGGTACCACCCTCAAAATGCATGTCACACGGTCCACAACTCGTGCCCAGTTTGAGGATGTGTTTGCCGCTGCGATTCGGAGATAGCTGTCCGGATGGTGGTAGTTTTCTTTAAACCCATGTTCGCGCGGAAGGCAAGTAGAGGGAATCTGAAAACCCCACAGAAGTATACGTATCCCCGTAAGTTCCGCAAGATATCACACCCCCTGGACCGATTTTCAAAGCTCGATTAATCGGCAGGAAAAGCACCAACGGTGCCGAAAATGGCGGCGTTGGAACCGCCTAGTCGAGAGCTTTACCAAAGAGAATCGTTTGGTTTCGGCATCCTCTTCGTCGTGGAGCAATCAGGCCTTCAAAGTCGGTCCAGGGGGTGTGGTATCTTACGTCATGCAACCTACGGTATCCCCGTAGTTTTGGTTGGGAAGAAAAGAGTGTGTGTGTGTTTTTTTTTGTCGCTCGTGCTTCTGGTTGGTTCCTCAAAACGGTCTGTCTCGAAGTGCCCCGTAACCCCCCCCCCCACCCCCCATATTTTCCACCCACCGGTGCCCCCTCCCGCCCCCCGTTTCCCGGCTGCCGCCTCAGGTACTCAGGGAGTGCGCAGCCTTACCTGGGAGGAGAACAATTTCACCCGTTCTGATTATCTTGATTCCGTCGTTCAATAACCGACAAGATCGTTTTGCTTGTCAAGATGGTGAACGGTTATTCTGGGTCACACGCCGCAAGCAGCTTGTGGGCGGTGCCACCGACGCTGGGGGGGGCGGTGGAGGCTGCGGCGGTTTCGAGCAATGGAGGACCACGCGATCAGTTCATGGCGACCGGGCGTTGTGTTGTTTGTTTAGCGCTCCGCTCTACCGTTTGTTGGTGTCCACGTCAATCGAGGTGGTGGTGTTGGTGTTGTTGTTGTTGTTGTTGTTGTTGTTGTGGTTGTTATTGTTGTTGTTGTCTGCACCTTAAAAGCCGTCCGGGTGTTTGCTACGGTAGCTTCGAGACCGGTCCACCTCACGGGACGCTTTCCGTGGCGCTCACAGCCCAGCTATCCCCCCCGAAAGGCTAACTACACACTTCTCGTGTCGGTATTTTGTGTGCCACTCAACGCTATTCTTGTCCCGGTGCTTGGCTTGGCTTAGATTCTGCTATGCTGTCGACATCCACGTCCATGATGTCGCAAACTGCTGCTGCTGCTGCTGCTGCTGCTGCTGCTGCTGCTGCTGCTGCTGCTGCTGCTGCTAGTGTTGGGTGTAGTGTTGTCCATGCCGGCGGAAGGGGTTTGCATTTTTCGGAATCGGCGGGTTTGTGCTCTCCACCCTCCGGCCCCGCGCTAATTTACGTTTTCGCTAAAGTGTTAAAAGTGTAGTGTGCTTTCGGACACCACGATCGATATTTGATTGGGGGAGGAAAGGATAACTGCGCACCTACAAGCGTATCGGGGGAAGCTGGTTCGGTGGTTCGTTTGTGTCGATCGATGCTGTGATGGGTGCTGCCATCCAATGTTTTTTGTTTTGGTAACACCCCGTTGATTTTTGTTTTCTTTCAAGTGGGTCGTACATAAACGGTGGCTGGTTGTTGGTTGTGAACATCTTGGCGGGTGTGATGCGATGGCCACATCTATCTGTGCGTTGGGCCGGGAACGGGCAAGGCTAAAGGTGCTAGATGGTTGCGCGGGTTGTCCGGCTGTGCCGTTCGTTGTGCTGCTGCTGCTGCTGCTGTTGTGTTGTGAGATGCTGTGAACGGTGGGGGGCCCGATATAGTCCGGTCCCATCCCAAAAGCCAACCTTGAAGTCGGGACCCCGAACGTCCCGCGTATCGGGTCATGTAAAGGTTTTGGCCATAGTCGGCAAATGTCGTGCCAAGAGGCTTTGACCGCACAAACACGAGACCTTGGTGGGGACCTACCGAGCCTAATCTAGCGGACGGGAGCTGCCGTGTTTCTGCGTGACGATCTCGAGGCTAAATACGATAATACGTGTGGCGCAGCATGTCCCGGCCGACAGTCCATCGTGGTCACTTCTTGTTTCGCAGCAGCACGTGCAAGTGCGGAGTTTGCGTTGAAGCCAGCCGTATGGTCAATAGACGGGCGTACGTGCTGATCCACTCATGGCCTTGGTAGCGTGTCCCTGCAAATTCATGTGGAGGAGTCGTTGGTCTTGTTGCAGTTCAGTTTTGTTGTTTTTGTCGCCTGCTTGCATTCGAGAGCTGGGGGGGTGGCGAGCGATGTAACAATGTTCGTGATACGCCAATCGCTGCTGCTGTTGTGCCTGTTTTTTTTCGTGCTTCCTACTGGACGGAGAATTCTTCATGCGCTGAAGTTAAAGTTATGATGTTGTGCTATTTGTGTGCTCACGATCGAGAGGTTTTGTCTGTTGCTCTTTTCTGTGAATGCCGTGCGGCAACCCGTTCTGTGTCTCCCCCAACTATTATATTTGCTGGCGGAGAAGAAACAGCAGTTGCAAGTTTTTTTCTTGTTGGTACAAATATTTGTTTTTCTTTTGCACCATTTCGCCCTAGAAATACAGTATGTTGACGACGGCTGATGATGAAACCAAATCGCCACCGGGGGGTGGGGTGTGCGTCGCACGTGTACTTAGATTTTTTTATGTTGTTCCGTGGCGGGGGGGGGGGACGCTGTCGTATCCGTGTGTGTCTCGGCGGTTTCATGCGAACGGGAACGCGGGGCCATGCGCATCGTTTGGTACCACCGTGACGAGCAGCAGGACGGTTTCGGGGGGATTTTTTTTTCGTGTGGTGAACGCGGCGCGTGGAACGATGGACTGTGTGGGAAGCTAAGGAGGGAGAGCAAAATACAACGTTGTGTACCGTTTGTTTTGTTTTTAAATTTACGCTTTGTGTTGAATGGATGGCTCGGCAGCGTTATGTTGTTTGTTTCTGTGTGCGGTAGTATTTTCATGTGGAACAACAGGCACGTTGGTGTTGTCTTCCGTCAGCGCGATCACTGTTTTTTTGCTGTCCATCTTCCCCATCTGCTCTCTAGACTGAAAAAAGCCACCTGCTTGCTGCGTGGACCATCGTCAAAAGGGTCTGTCTGTGTCAACACTTCAGTATCTGGCTTGCTTGGGGTACCCTTTATCCACCAGTCACATGGGTTGGCATCTGAAACAAGGACATTTATCCAGCATTTGACTGCTGTGAGTGGAGGCACACATGCAAGGGATGGTAGGGGTGTCGACGGATGCATACAAAAACCAGTGATGACGTGGCCTCGAAGAAGGCTAGTGGCGCTGCTTGCGGGTTTCGTCGTATTTCTCAGCTGGTATTTCTCACGGGACACGGCATCCATCCCCTGCGGTATTAGACCATGCATACCGTAGGTGACACAAGGTACCGCACCCCCTGGACCAATTCTCAAGACTTGACTTCTCCGTCAACAAAAATAATAATGGAAGCGCCGAAACGCCGAAACGGCGGAGTTGAAGCCGTCTCGTCGAGAGTTTCCCGAAAACGTATCGTTCGGTTTGTGATCCTTTTCCTCGTTGAGTAGTCGAGTTTGAAAATCGGTCAAGGGGGTGTGGTATCACCTGCTGCAGACACAATCTTGTGGTTCAAATTGTTGACCCTCCGAGACCAAGCGATGGAAATAGGGGGCGAAGGGCGGGCCGTCAAAAGGGATTGATTCTCTTTCCTCTCGACCAAAACGCGAACACAACCAACGGCGGTATCCTTCTCAGCACCAGCAGTAGCAACATTAACATTTGCCTTCGATTCGTAAAAAAAAAACGTTTAGAAGCTGTATGAACACCAATCTGTTCAATTTGGTTGGTTCAATACTTAAATGTCAACGCTTTTATATTTCAATGCGGTCGCAAACTTCGGTCTGATTCCCGTCTATCCCTATTCCGCCCTCAACTTTCCTTGCAAAACATGACTCGAAAATCCCCAGCAACGCTTCCAGAAGAAGACAACGCGGAGACCTAACCCTGGTCTTCATCGCTCGATAACCATTATGGCGTCTCCAAAACTTCTTCTCTCGCCAAATCACACATGACACGAAATACCTGAAACATCTCCTACCCCAGGAGACCTAAACGATAGCGCAGGTGCTGCAGCAGCCTCAACGTTGATTTCGCTCGAACCTCTCCCCCGCCCCCGCCCCTCCAGCGTGCGTCAACGAAAACATGACCTTTTGTATGCTAGTTTGTCTCCAAGAGTACAGTACTAAGCTTGCAAAATGAACGAACCGCCTTCGCTTCGCGAGAAACTCAGGTTATGAGGAAATAGAACAGGGAGCGGGTACAACGCTAATCATGACCCAACTTTTTCGATTGCATTCTTTATCCAACGTCTTTCCTTACTAGAAAAACCCTGCGAAAGTTACGGCCGTGAACCGAGGGTACACAAGACAAGGGAAGGCTGGTTCCTTTCGTTCCCCGGACGAAGACCACTGCTGTGATGATGATAACACAAAAGAGAGACCAGAATCGAGGTTGCTCGTAAAGAAAAAAAAAATCCTCTTCCACTCTTGGACTCGACCTAAAAAGGTTGGCTTCCCGTTCCCCAGGGAAAAAAATCTAGAACTTTGGAGAAGGTGGAGCGCTCACGCTGATGCTCAGCATAGCAAGCCCGCGAGGCACGAATCAATCTCTCCACGAATATCCAACGCATATCCCGGTGCAACAACACGCCACGATTATCCCGACGAGGGTTTCACGAGTCCCAGGAGCACCGATTAGTCTTCCTCGCTTGACGATGACGATGAGATTAGCCCGTCTAATCCGGTTGCCGCTTCCTCTTCGTCATCGTCCATCACCAAAGCGTGCCGAACCTGGTTCCGAACGAAGGGGCATCCAGCGACATGGGGGGGAAAACGAAAAAAACAAAAATGATCATGACAACAGCACACAACAAAACGAATATGAACGAGACAAGAGAAGAGAGAAAAAGAGGGGGAGAGAAATTTCAACACAACGAACAATGCGAAACAAGAACAGCATGAAGAGAAGAAAGAAAAGAGGGGAAAGCAAGATCATTACAAACGAGACAACAGCATGAACAAGAAAAAAAGAACGATAGTAAAAAAAAAGCAACATCAACAACGCGACACAAGAACGACGCGAAAAAAAATAAAAAAAAACAGAAAAGCAACATCAACACAATGAACGATACAAGATCAGCGCGAGAAGAAAAATATACCAGACCTGGGCGACTGAGGACGGGCGCAAGTAAGATAAACTCCGTGTCACCTCCAACAAGAGGCACCAAGGTCTTCCTTGAATTAACATGACACGCTGGCGCGACCTCAACAACTACCCAAAGCCCGTTTCCAAAGAACAATACACAAGATAAGGGCCTCCAATTCCTTCAGCTGGACTCAAGGTGGGATGGGTGGCGACTTGCAACGAAGAGGTGCACGCTTGCACCAGCAGAGATAGACACACCTTCACACCTTCCTATCCACCTCACTCGAGAACGTATCCAACAGAGACACAGCAGGCGTCGCTAGAAAGAAGCACCAGTCGCTTGGTTTCAAAACGAGGCGCACTGCAGAATCAAAACCGCCCGCTCCTAATAATTAGGGGTGTGAATACGAACCACTGGTGGTCCCGAACCAAACATGTCCACCATAAACTTGCCCAGCCGTTGCCCTTACTCGTGCGACTGCAACTGGATCCCCCCATGTACAACTGTCCAAAAGAATGATAATCATGGTGGCGGTTGTAGTCTCAACAGACACTGAAACCTCCTCACGCACGAGTGTCCACAAAAAAAAACAAAGGCTTGTTGTCGTACGCTATAGACGGAACAGACTGAACTCTGTTGCGCAACGGAAACAATGTGTCAATACTGGTAATCTGGGGTCAGGAAGAAAAAAATCTCGCGTACCCGCCTGCCTAATATATTAATAAACATTTATGGGGGAGAGCACGCACATCGTAGTCGTAGGTCCTTACCCGTGAGCGCATGTCTTAAAATTCATACGCGAGCACGCCGGAGGATTTGAGAAGCTGGCCAACACAGGTGGCCCCAAAAGTAGTGCATATTTATCACATTCGGGTGGTGAGGAACCGACTACTGCTGTAGGCCCTTGTTGTTTTAGGCGCAAAAACAAACCTGAGCCAACCTCCTTGCGAAACGCTTTAGCCGAACTTGTTAATTGACACTCTTTACTCTCTTCGGTCTTAGTTCATCCCGCCCGTCTCTTACCGCGATGTACTTCTTCCCGTCTTCAGAGGTGTAGATCCTCTTCTGCAGGCGACCGGAAGTGTCCTCCTTCGCGGCGGTGGAGATGCCGTTGAAGGCAACGTCCGCGAGCTCTTTCGTGGCGTACACCACCTGAACAAGGACACAAGAGAAAAAGAAACGACAAAAACCTCGTCAACCATCAATCATCCTGTCATCTTTGTTGGGTGGGAACACAAAAAAATAGGTTGCCATCAGCGAAACTGTTTTCACCACAAAAGAACACAACAAACAGCAGGAGCAGCACCAGCAACAACAGGAAAAAGCCGTCAACAACCAATCACCTGTGCTAGGTGCGGAAACCCAAAAAGAAGGCTGTTCTCGCTCTCAGCGAAACTGCACTCCACAACAACAATGGTACAACGAAAAACGAACACATGTACGCATACCAAAAAAAACGAAAAGAGCCGACAGCCCCCATGCACCCCAGACAACAGTTGTACCACGTAAAGCTCCAAAGCTCCTAAGGAACAAACAAAACGCATCACAAACATGACACATCTCGATGCATGAGTTCCCCCCTCTACACAGGAGCCCACGACCGAAAACAAAACAAAACAAGAAACACGTTTCCGCGGAACACGTCTCCCACGGAACACGAAAACAAAAACCATAAAATTACATGGGTCTTCCCGGTGGTGCCCGTGAACTCGATCCCCTCCGCCTCCTGAGCGATGACCTTTGTCTTCTTCTGCATGACCCGCATAAGCTGCTCCGGCGTCGTGCCGGCGGGAAGCCGGTGCACCATCAAGGACCGCCGCTCCTTCTCCGCCTTCGCAGCCCTCGCATCCGCGTCGTCTTCTGAAAGGTACCCCGGGGGGGAGGGGGAGTTGCGGCGGAATTCGCTCACTATTGGAGATTTGGGAATTGAGTGGATTTAGAGGCGTGTGAGCACTGCGTTTTCTCTCCTTACCCAGGGGGTTGAGTTGCGGCCCCAATTTGCTCACCACAGGAGAATTGGTTGGACAATGAGATTGGAATACTAGTTGGTTGGAAAATAGACATGCCCTACGTCGGGGGGAGTCGGTGTACACCGCATGAGCTCTACTTCCTGGCAGCCCTCGCATCCGCCTCGAGCCAGGGGGGGTGAAAAGGCTACGGGAGAGGACCCACTCGTGATTCATTTCTTCTCGGTCTATCCCCGATATATGGGGGGGCAACAATGCGAGCAGCATCGATCGGCCGCTTGCGGAGATACGTCTCATCGGAGAAACCCCAAGCTTCGTGAGGTGTTGCACCAAATTGGACATTGTTAGTGGGAGCAGCAGCGCTTGACAGGGTAGAGCAAGCACCCCCTTGGGCATCGTCTCGCGGCCTCAAATGAACAATGTTTTCTTTTTTTTCTGTCTCTTGAATTGAAACACAATCGCCGAAAGAGAGAAGAAGGTCAAAGCATCGTCTTCTTCTTGGGAGCGATAAGAAGGTCAAGAAGCATCTTCGAGAGAAGAAGGTCAAGGACCGCCTTCGAAGAGGAACGGGAACAAGAACACCCCTCAATAAGCGTTGTGGCGGTCGTCGGCCGAACGGCTCGAGACCCCCCCCCCCCCCCCAAAAAAAACTA